TTTTATAATAAACGAAATTCTGAAACGACTGAAATAATACTGAAAGCGTAATTTTATTATTTTTAATTGTTAAAATAAACCAAATCAAACAACATATTAATTGCCAAATTTTTGTCACATTTCAAAGTTTGTAGTTTTTTTTAACTATTTATAATCTGAACATTATTTATTTCTTTGACATTTTTTTGTCTTATTGTTAAATAAATCATAAATTAGTTGGATAACGCTTTGTTTTTCTCTCATGATCCGAGAGGAAAAGAAATAATGAAGAAATTCAAATTTCAAATTTTCAAAAAATAATCTTGAAATAAATTTCTAATAACCAATTTTATTGAATTTTTGTGATGAAAGAGTATCTTGAAAAAAATTGGAAAAATGGAACTAAACAAGCCGAAATAAAGATTTTCTTAAAGTAAACGAGATTCTGAAACAACTGAAATAACACTGATTTTATTTATTTTTGATTGTCGTTAAAATAAACTAAATTAAACTAAACAATTCGAGATATTGTATTTTTGCCCAAATTTTTGTCACATTTTAGAATTTGCACTTTTTTTACTTTTTATTGTCTAACTATTAAATAAATTGTAAGTTTCTTGGAGAACGCTTTGTTTTTATTTCACTGTTCGAGAGGAAAAGAAATAATGAAGAAATCTAAATTTTTATTTTCCAAAAAAAGAAATTTTGAAACAAATTTTTAGTAACAATTTTATTGATTTTTTAAGGAGAGAGATTCTTGGAAAAAAAATGTCTAATTGCCCAAATAAAAGCATTTAAAACCTGATTTTCCTGAGATTCCGAAACAACTGAAATAATACTGAAAGCGTGATTTTGTCTTTAAAATAAACAATTCGAAATAATAAATTAATTGCTAAATTTTTGTCACATTTTAGAGTTTGTACTTGTTTACTTTTTATATTTCTAAACATTTTTCTTTTTTGACATTTTTTGTCGTATTATTAAATAAATATTAAATAAATCATAAATTACTTGGGTAATGCTCTGTGTTTCGTTCAAGATCGTGAGAGAGGAAACGAAATAATAAAGAAATTCAAATTTCCAATTCTCAAAAAAGAAATTTTAAAACAAACTTCTAACAAACAATTTTATTGAATTTTTGTAATGAAAAAGTATCTTGAAAAAAATTGGAAAATCGAACTAAACAAGCCGAAACAAAGATTTACTTAAAATAAACGAGATTCTTAAATAGCTGAAATAATACTGAAAGTTTGTTTTTATTTTATTTTTTGATTGTCGTTAAAATAAACCAAATTAAAATAAATAATTCGAAATAACATAATTTTTACCAAATTTTAGTGACAGAGAGTTTGTATTTGTTATGTTTCTAAATATTTTTATCCTGTTACAATTAAATAAATCGTAAATTACTTGGAGAACGTTCTGTTTTTCTCTCAATTCAATTTTTTTTTCAAATAAGAAATTTTCCAACTAATTTCTAATAACAATTTTATTGATTTGTTTAATGAGAAAGATTTTTGAAAAAAAGGTGTCTAATAAACCTGATTTTTTTTATAATAAACGAGATTCTGAAACAACTGAAATAATCCTGAAAGAGTGATTTTATTATTTRTAATTGTCGTTAAAATAAACCAAATCAAACAACATATTTATTACCAAATTTTTGTCACATTTTAGAGTTTGTACTGAACATTATTTATTTTTTTGACATTTTTTTGTCTTATTGTTAAATAAAACATAAATTAGTTGGATAACGCTTTGTTTTTCTCTCATGATCTGAGAGGAAAAGAAATAATGAAGAAATTCAAATTTCAAATTCTCGAAAAATAATCTTGAAACAAATTTCTAATAAACAATTTTATTGAATTTTTGTAATAAAAGAGTGTCTTTAAAAAAAGGAAAATCGGACTAAACAAGCCGAAATAAAGATTTTCTTAAAATAAACGAGATTCAGCTGAAATTATACTGAAAGTTTGTTTTTATTTTATTTTTTGATTGTCGTTAAAATAAACCAAATCAA